CTGCTTTCAGAAAATCTTGAAACAGTAGAAAGAAATCAAATGCAATATAAATAAATGCAGAGATATTCCTTGTTCATGTCTCAATGTCGTTAAGATAAACCTCCTCTGCAGATTCAGTGCATTCCCACTGAAATTCCCAGCAAGCTATTTCTGAACCTAGGATCCAGACGCACCTCAAGAAGGCACACATCTGGAGCCCAGAAGCTGTCAAAATACTCCATAGACTTGTGTTTACAATGCGAAACTGCAAAATTCTAGAAGATGTGCATGACACATGCTCCCTCTGTCTGCTGCCAGGCTCCTCCCCGGCTTCTCCTGGCTCCTCTCCTGGTTTCCTCCAATCTGCAGCCTCAGAGGTGCAAGCCAGACAGGGATGGGGGTGTGTGCACGTATGTAAAGGCACACAGAGGTGCATGGGTGTGTCATGGGGATGTGTAAAAGAGTTGGTGGGGAAGGCTGTGAGGGTGTTGTGTATGTGTGCACCTACACACATGTGTATACTTGTATTTGTGTTTGTGTGTTCACTTGGGGTGTCAGTCAGGGAAGGAGTGCACCCCACTCCACCAGACGAATCCTAGATCCTCACTTTCCTTCTATGGAATTTTTTTTTCTAAAAACACCTTTTTCTTTTAAGAATATTAAGAAGTGATGCTGTATTTTTATTAACATTCACACACTAGGTCAAGGCCCAGCCCGGCTCAGGGAGGGCAGAGGGACCATCCAGGCCACCTGGATAGAGGTGTCGCTCCCTCTGTCACTGCACCCCTTCCTGTGCTGCTGGAGGGGCTGGAATCAGGCCTGTGCACCCCAGCAGAGAAGGACTAGAATGTGCTGAGGTCTCCCTCAGAAGAACAAGAGAGTTGGAAGGGAGCAATGCCCAACGCTCAGGGCATGGACTTTGCTGCCCACAGAGGAAGAACACAGTCTCTGGTCTTGGATCTGATGCTCATCCCTGAGCTGAGAGCAGCGCTTTCACACAGAAATGTCCCCAGGCACCGCGGTGAATGGCCTGAGCTCAGAACAGGAGAACTGAGGGGCTCAGAACTGACACAGTTCCTTTCCTGCCACATGCCCCTGACCTGCCCTGTGGTCTTTCAACTCAGCCTCCAAATGCCTTGGCCACTGTCCTTGGTCCCTCCCCTAACCAAAGCCAAACTGCTCCAGGATGCCTCCTCACTTCAAACTCAGAACAGTCTCCTTAATGCTGAGGTGATTCGCAAGGTGCACTGGGAGGAGCAGATATCTTTAGCACAGGGAGAGCCAGTGGGTCCATTTCCAGGACCAACAAAACAGAGCACAGAAATAAGTGTGACTTAAAACACAAACCTGCAATCTCCCCATTCTGCAGGCCAGAATCCCCAAATGAGGGTATCAGCAAGGCCATTCTCCCTCTGACAGCTGTTGGGAGGGTCCTTCTTTGCCTCTTCAGCTTCTGGTGTCTGCTGACAATCTCCTGTCTTGCAGCATTAGGGAAATAATTACCCATTAAAGCAGAGGGTTCAGTCAGGGCCCTATATGCTGGGGAAGGGTTGTCCTTGCTAAACCCACCAAACAGGGTGCTTCTGGGGACATCCAGGGTGGCCAGATGTCACCAGGGATGGCAGAGCATGAGTGCCAATGTCTTGGCTGGGCACAAGATCAGGAGGCACTCACACACCTTGTAGATTCAAACAGCAATTCTTTATTCCTGAACTCACACCGGCCTCCACACACGTTCTGGGGAAATCCAAGTTCTGCCCGCACAATTCATGTCCCCAACTTTCTCAATTCCACGAGAACTCAGGGGGAACTTAGGCAGCAGGAATGCCCTATTCCCAGCAGCAATAAACTTAAGCCTCGAACTTCCCTAAAACCCATATTGCCTTAAACTTCTCTTAAACTGGGAACGCCTTAAACCCAAGGACGGGATACTCCCTGAAACCTGATCAGCTCTAAACCCGGATCTGCCCTGGTCCTTGAGCAAGGTCACCTTTCTCAAACACACATGCAAGGTCACAACGGATTTCCAAGGCAAGTCCATTTAACATGGGGTACGCTGGCAAG